TTTCCTGCCTCTTTGCATGCCTAGTAATCCTTGATGTCTTGCCCGACATTGTGAATTTTACCTTGCTGACTGCCAGATACTTTTGTAATCTGTATAATTTGCTAGCCAGGTCCAGAGCAGTGCTCAGATAGGCTTGATTATTCCCCACTACTAAGCCAAGACCTTCCTGAGTCCTCTGCCCACTGCCCTGTGATGTTTTCCAGTCTGGCTAATGGGAAAAGGCCTGGGGCACTGCTTCCTCTAATCCTTTCAGATGGCTCTCCCCCTGGCCGTGGGTAGTTTCTTCTCACATGTTGGCTGATAAGTTCTCTGCTGAATACTCGAGGGGCCCCTCTGCAGATCTTGAGTTCTCTCTCTGGGCAGCTCTCTCTTCTTTGTGTTCTGTTCTCCAAGCTCTAGCTGCTGTGGTCTCCCTGGGCCCTCAGCTCCGTTCCTTCAACTCAGGAGCTCTGAGGCTCTGGGCTCCACTTCACTGCCCCCTTCTACCCGCAGTTTTGAAATTTTCAAAGCAGTGAGATGGACAATCCTAAAAGGACAAACCTTCCTTGTTTTCCTTTCTCTCTGGGATTTTGTTGCTTTCATTGCTTGGTGTCCAGTGTTTTGAAACTGTTCTTTCGTGCATTTTGTCTGGTTTTGTTGTGGTGGTGGTGGTTGTTTCAGGTGGAAGGTTAAACCTGGTCCCTGTTACTCCACCTGGAGGAGAAGTGGGAGTCTTGGTGTCCATGTTTCTAAGAGCTCCTGGGGTGACTCCACTGCACAGCCAGGTGAGAGCCACTTGCACAGACCTCTTTTCTCTGCTTGAAATGTTTTTCTCAAACAAATGGAATCTTTGATTATTTCCTCCTCTCTGCTATCTCTGTTGTCTCTTTCTGGAACTTTTGTTAGACAAATATTGAATGGATTGATCCTTCATCTCTTAACCTTTCTTTCATATTTTCCATTTCTTTGCCATTTTGCTCTACATATTGAGAGATGTTTAAAAACTTTTTCCTCCCATACTTTCCTTTGATTAACTTTTTAATTTAGGCAATCATATTTGTAATTTCCAGAACTTTCTCTTGTTCTCCGATTGCAATGTCTTCCTAGAAATCTCTTCTTGTTTAATGGCGGATTATCTTATTTATTTGTTTCCTCCAGGGCTGGTTGTTTTGTCTCTTCATCTTAGTCCTTTTTGCTGCCACTGAAAGTTAGTACGAGGAAGCCCACATGGTTCTCCTTGGCAGCTGAGTGGGTCTGGTTCCCCAGTAGGCCTTGCTCTGAACAGGCTGCGAGCTCTGCGGCAGGTGTGTTAATTGATTCAAATGCTTCACTTAGATCAGAGGAGCTTGTTCCTCTCCTCCCACCCAGGTGCCCTTTGGCAACGTCTGGAGACATTTTTGGTTGTCACAAGTGGAGGATGCTACTGGCACCTAGTGGATAGAGGCCAGAGATGCTGCTAAATATCTTGCAATGTACAGGAAAGTCTCCACAACAAAGAGTTATCTGGCCCAAATGTCAATAGTGTTAAGGTGGGGAAAACCCTGACTGAAGACCATCCAAGATCAAGCTGCTCCATGTCCCCACCGCCAAAGGCCAAGAGAAGGAGGGACCCTTCACACCCACCGCAGGAGACTTCCCAAGCATTCGTTCAAGTTTGTTAGAAGAGATCCCCAACTGATGGTTCATGAGCCACATGTGGCCCACAGACTTGTTTCATTTGGCTTTTATAGGTAGGTAGATTAATATACACACACACAGACACAGACACACACACACACACACACACATACACACAATGGTTAACAGTTTGGTTGATTTTACCTAAAACCCCAGATTTCTAGCTTCTGCTGGAAAATCAGAAGGATGGACATGGTTGGTAGAGCCGAGTGGCAGTTGCCCCTACAGATGGGCATGTGGTCTCTTTTTATTTCTGTCTCCTGGTTCACATTGCTCACCTATGTCTCTGGCTTGGCCTCTTTATGCATGTGGATTCGTAACCCCTGTTTTTTTTTTTTTTTTTTGGCTGGTTTTATCCTGGGGACAAATACTGACTCTACCCAGGGATGTCTGTGGAGTGTTTCTGAGACAGTCTTTTAGTTAATCCTCTTGTTTTCTCTCCCACTGGTACCATTACCTTAGAATAATGGGAGAATACAAATGGGAGGATGAGATTCATCACAGTTGGAGGTAGACACCTGGGGATCATCAGAGTATGAGACAGCAGTTGAAGCCATAGGCATGAGTGAGATTTCCCAGGAAGAGTGTGTAGACAGCAGAAGCACCCTAGGCTGGACCTCTGGAGAAGGGGGCCAGCAAAAGAATCAGAGAGGATAGCCAGAGAGAAGGAAGGGAAATCAGGTGTGTGTGGAGACACAGAAGCCAAAGGAAGAGAAAGTTTCAAGAAGGAAATCAAATGTCGAATGCTGTGTACAGGAGGCTGAACAGTGTCCTTTGATTAAGATATGCAGATCATGATTTCAGTGAAAGCAGTTTCCTTAGAGTGCTGGAAGTGTACAGAAGCCTGCAGCCGGTTGCAGAGTGATGGGGAGATGAGAAAATGTAGACTGCTAAGACAGACAGCTCTTTCCAGAAGTTTCCAGACGTTAGCTGTGAAGGAGGTGAGAGGTCATGTTATGTGGTGAGGGATGGAGAATTAGTTGTTGGTTGGCTGATTGTTTTAAGGTGGGAGAGATTGGAACTTGTTTATAGAGGAAATAGTCTGTTTTTTGTGAGATTATGAATGGTATAACCTGATAAGCACATCCTCACCATGAAACATCTAGAAATGCTGCATAAAATCAAGCAAACATCCTTTAAAATGCACAGTTGGCTTTCAAGAACGTAAGGGGAATCCCCCCGGCCGTACACAAAGAGGAAATTGAAAACCAGAGCTGTGTGAGCTGCTGGCTGGTTGTAGATCTTAGCAATGAAGGGGCTTGGGTTTTACACCCACCTAGAGATTGGAGATGAAAGCATTGAAAACTGAGACCCTGATATAAAGCTCACCCTCTTAGCAGATGACACCCTCAGTGAAAGAGTATACTAGAAAAAAATTCTTCCCATCAGCTCAGGGAGCACAAAAAAACCTTATCTGTCTCACCCTGAGATCTGGTAGCAATAGAAAGTCTCCCCAGAGAATTCATAACCAAAGGCTTGCCATCACTTAGATTTGGGTTTCGAATTTACACCATCTGCGTGGTTTCGGAAGCCCAAATAGAGATTAACAAATAATGTGGTCCAGGGTTAGTCATACCCGTGAAGCATCCTTGGCAGGAACGAACACAAAACTTCTCTAGAGAGAAGTAACCTCAAACCTGGTCACATGGATTCCCACTGCTAAGGCCCTGCTGAAGCTGAGTTCACAGCCCCAAATTAGCAAACTTACGAGGGAGCCATCTGTCATGAATGAGAGTGAGCAACCTGGAACTCCAGACAACAGAATCATCGAGTAAAGGACTATACAGTAAATATGTTTTAAATGCCTAAAGACATAAAAGAAGAACTCAACATTAGAAAGTAATAAGATGGTGTTAAAGATGTGAGGGAGAGGTTTAAAATAAAGAGGAAGGAGAAAGGGTAAAACTAATGCATCTATTGATCCATCCACTTATTCATTTCCCTTTCCTTAGCCTCCTGTTATGTTTTAGACCATGTTCTGGGTCTGGGCATATAAAGATGACTTTGGGGACGAGTTGGACTCTGCCCCAGGGAGATCACATCCATACATGCGTCCATCCATCCATCTTTCATGTTATAGCATCCTCAGATGTCACAGCTAGAAAAGTCTCAATAGAACATCTTGTTCAACTTTCAACTCTCTTGTCGTATAGAGTAAGAAGGTGAGGCCCAGTAATACAAAAATTACTTTTCTGAGGTCTCCAACTGAGTGGGTGACAGAGCCAGAGAGCGAGCCAGCACCTTGCCCCTGGTGTCCTTTCTGCACGTCCTGCCCCTGCTGAGCACTTGGTGTGTGGGCATCTAAGCTCTGGACACTGTATCTCTGTTCTATTTCCCTGGTGGACTGGTCACTCCTCTTGGGCGGAGTCCCCACAACCCAGTCCTGTCAGATGATGGTGACTATGAGAAGTGACATAATTATCCAGCTCCTGAGTGACAGAGATGGGACAGGAGCCCTGATCTCTACCTTGTATCAGTTATGTGTCCACGTCTCTTCTTACCCCCTCCACCCCCCACGCCTTCCACTAAAGAGACTGTGAGCTCCTTGGGAGGCCAGGTCTGATGCCTCCACCCCCAGGGCCTGGCTCAGGGAAGGTGCTCTGAACACCTGCTGGATGAGTGCACCTGCAGGAGAGGTCCCTCAGCCTGGGGGCTTCTCATTCCCCAGCTGCTCCCTCAACTTCCAGCATCCAAGGGGTTAGAGGGGAGGTGGAGGCCCAAGCGCTCTCCGGCTCTCCTGACCAGCGAGAGCCAAGTGTTGGCCTCTGCCCAGCAGCATTTCCCCGGGTGTGGGTGTGGGTGTAGGTGAACTCAGAAGGTTGGTGGCTAGCATTAAGCAGCACAGGATGGCTGCTCCCTGGGCAGGGCCTTCAGGCTCTCAGTACTTCCAGCGAAGGCCTCAGGGTGGCGCTACAGTGTCTAACACTTGCTGATCCATTCGTCCCCTTTTCTTTTAACAAAGAAAGAGCAGATCTTTGGGGCAACGCCTCCAGCAGGGACCAGTGTCTACTTAGAACTCAATATCTTTGTTTACATTGTATTTATTTGCATGTTTTACCTTCTATTTCTGGCAAGTGATACTGGCTTTCCATTTACAGAAATGATACAAAAAAGATTCCTTTTAAAATAAATTTATTAAGCAAATAGTAAACCAATGTAAAGAAAAACATAAAGTAAATAATAGTACAGGTGGTAAGCTGATGTGGCAAAAATCCTAACATTCTGACTGAAATTTGGGAAATCAGGTCCCTGGGGAACGGAAACTCCTTTGCTTCCCCCAGCCCCTGGTACTGCTCGCAGAGTGGAGGTCAGCTGACACAGACGGCTATAGGGCGAAGGACATCTCAGGGCTCCATTTCTCCGGGGTGGAGCTTTATAAGTAAGCCCGCCTTGGGGAAAATCTGTCTCTCCGAACCACTCCAGCTAGCTGGGAGGAAGATAGCTGGAGGCCGCATTTTGGGAGCTACCCTGCCTCGGGACAGTGCTCCTTTCCACATTGGATCAAACTCAGATCTCCTTGGCCTGGGCCTCTCTCATTGTGGAGGGGTGAGATTCAGGAGGCTGAGGTGTGTCGGCCTTGAGGACAGGCTGCCCTTCAGTCTTTGGCTCTAAGTCCCAGCTACAGGCACAAGTGCGTCTGAGCTTGGCTAACCAAGTTCCCTGTTGCTGGTTGGGGGTCAAAGCCACAGTTTGTATGCAATAAGATGCTCCTTTGCCTGGTCTTGACCTCTCTTTATCTGTTTTGCTGGAGGGATGATTTGTGGCTCTGGGAAGCTGAATTCCTGTCATCTCCTGCTGGCACAACTGACACTCATCATCCCACCCTCAGTCTGTTCTTCAGCAGCCATGAGACCCCTCCGCTTTGATATCGGCTTCTTAGGTGCACACTGAAGGAAGGTGGAAGCCACTGTGTTGGTGCTATTTCCTGCCTGTCTGGTATCTTGAGTTCTTAATCCGGAACGTGATCTTCACGGCTTCTGGCCCAGAGTCGGTCCCATCTCCAGTTCTCTGCGCCAGAGCCCCAGGCAGTGAAGCAGAGGTACCTCTGGGCTTCCCCTGCAGCACAGGCTCTGTCCACACCCCGTCTGCCCAGACCCAGATCCAGGGGAATTGAAATCCAGATGTAAAAGGCCTAGGAGGGGCATTCTTCCCTGGGGGACCTCAGGTATCAGGTTCCCAGGCTGGAGCCCCAGGGTCTTAAGGTCCCTCTGAGATAGGGTAGGGCCTTCCTCAGGGGTTTCTGGGAGGCCAGTCCTCCAGGCACTGGGGATTCAGAGCCCAACACTTGTCCGACCTTCACGACTCCAGAAAGCTGAGATCTGCTCCAGGGTAACCCGAGGCTGGAGACCCCACTCAGGATCAGGGCTTCCTGGCCGCTGCCTCTGGGCCTGGGGGCTCCCCAAGTGCACACTGGCGTCTGGTCCCTGTTCAGGCTCAGCCCAACTCACTAGGCCTGGGGCGTGGGGTCTCTCCTCCCAGGCCTGGGGCCCCCAGAAGGTGCTCCGGAATGAGGGCTTGGGAGGCCTCGGGGGGACCAAGGGTCTGGGAAGGGGCTGAGGGGCTAAAGAGGCAGGTGGGGCTGTTGCTCGGGCCTCCAAGGTGCCCCCAGGGGTGGGAGGCTCTGGGGCCCGGTCCATCAGCAGGGGGACCGCAGAGCCATACCAGTCCTCTGAGCGCTCTCGGGGGGTGCCCCTGGGCTCAATCCACAGCTCTCCTCCGGGGCGCCAGACCAGGGTGGGTGCCTGGTTGCTGGGGTCTGGGCGCAGAGAGCGCCGGAACAGGCGTTCGGCCAAGACGGCAGTTGTCAGGAGGAAGAGGGCAGCAAGGGAGGCCAGGGCGAGCATGATGGGGACACAGGGCCCGCAGGGCAGCGGGGGCCACGAGGCTGCCTCTGATGCAGGGGGCCCCTCCATGTGCCCAGAGGGCTGGTCTGGAGTCGAAGACATCTGGAGAGACAGGGATCGGGAGAGGAACAAATGAGATGGGGTTGGCACAATCTAGAGAGAGAGAGGCAGCAAGTGCACAAACAAGAGTGAGGAGAGAGCCAAAGGCGAGAGGGGCTCGGTGTCTGGCTTGAGAAACAGACCCAGGCAGACAGAGGGGCAAAGAGGACCCAGAAAGGGCAAGAGTGAGTCAGATGGCAGGAGAAGCAGGGGCCCCCCTTGGCCTGCAGCCAGGCCCTCCTACTCAGGATCCCTTTCTGAAGGCCCATTTTCCTCCCAGACCTCAGGGTGCCTCCCTCTCGGCCCCTTCAGGTCTTGCTCAGGCCTAGAGAGGAAGTGGTGGGTAAGGAAAGGAGAACGTCCCCTCCCGGCCCTGCCCCTGCATGTGTGCGCCCTCCTGGCCACCTCAGCTGGCCCCTTGGCTGTTCCTTTGCCCGCACAACCCTCCTTGGAGTTGGTCTTGCTCTCAGCAGCTCCACCAAGTTTGCTGTGCCGCCAGGTCTCAGGTGCCGCCTCTGCACCTGTCCCCGCCTCTCTGGCTTTGCCCAGTCTCTGGCCCGACTCTGTCTGCCTTGTTTGTCTCTGTCCCTCAGCTCCCCAACCTGCAGGGGCCTCCTGCACACCCCACCTTACCTCGGGTCAGTCCCGGCTCCTCTGTCCCTTCGGAGCCTCTCCTCCCTGTGTGTGCAGGGAGGCCGCAGAGCTGTTGCCTCAGATGAGGGCGGAAGGGAGGGCACCACCAACTGTGCTGGGCTCCCCCTGCACCCGGAGTGTTTCCAAGGCAACCTGGGGGATGTGGTCACCGCGGTGGGAGGTGTTTCCTGGCGAGAGGTGGGGCCGGAATGGCAGTGGTTCTATTGAACTCAGTCTCACCCCATAGCCAGGCCCCAGCCCCAGAACATTCGCCTGGAGGCCAAGAAAGAGGAGACAGAGATTCTGGCCCATCTGTTCCCAGAGCACCAAGGCACCCCGCTATGCCTGCTCCCTCGTGGCTGCCCTGTCCCTGTCCTGCTCACTGGGCCCCACCAAACCTGCTCCTGCCATCCAGCCCCCACAGGTCCTCCTACTTGACCCAGCCTTCTCATGAACACGTCTCCTTGTCTTCATACTATTAAGTCCCAATTTTGGTTGGAAAATATCTGTGAGGTGAGGCCTGGGTAGCAAGAATGTCAGGCCTCCAGGAAGAGTCCAGGGTGAAAAACAGGCTTAGGCCTGGCTCCAAGGTCCCAAACGTTTGCTATCTCGGATCCTTTCTCCCAGTGCTGAGGTGCGGAGGAGCCTGGGGGCAGGAGGTGTGATGGAGCGTCATCGGCTCCTGGACGGAGATCTGTCAGAGATTGTCTAGTTTGACTCACTCACTGACAGATGACAAGTGAGCCCTAAATAAGGGAGGTGTCCTGCCCAAAATCACACAACCCATGCGTGTGGGAGGAACAGGGCAGCATAGATATTAATTCCCCGTCTGGCAAGCAACCTGAACACAACTCAACTCGTACTGGGTATTTATGTTTTGGTTTGCAAAATGACGGCCATTTAATGGGAAAGGCTCCAAAAATAGGTTGAAATGTTAGCATGTTACAAAAGATGATCACAGGGCAGCCTGACTCAGATTGCTCTGTCCTGGTGGTTTTGAGGAAAGGGCCAGAAGGAGCATCCAGCGTGGCGTGGGGTGGGAGTAGGAGGAAATGGAGAGTCCCAAGGCTCTGGGCCTTAGACATATGCAGAACCTGATGAGATTAGAAATTGGTGAGGTTATAAGCCTTAAAAGAAAACTTGAACTTAGTATCACTGAACTAGACACTTAAAAATGGTTAGGATAGTAAATTTTATGTTATATGCATTTATGACAATAAAAAAGTTTTGTTAAAAAAATCCACATAAATAAAACCTGAAAATTGTTATGTATGTTTTCTTTTTTTTTTTCCCTCCTCAAAAATGGTTGGGCATGGTTGTATATTCTAATTGTAAGTCCTTCTAGTTCTTCTACATGAGCTGCCACCACAGCATGGCAACTGACAGATGGGTGGTGTGGTTCCACAATCAGAAAGTGAAACCAGGCTGCTGGCAGTGGTGAGAACACCAACTTTAACCACTAGAGTAAACATTATTAAAAACTAGAATGACAGAACGATCAGACATGACTATTCTGTGCCTAAGGTATCAACTGTCTTTTATCACTTAAAAAAAAGAAAAAAGAAAAAGCTTGGGGCCAGCCCAGTGGCATAGCAGTTAAGTTCACCTGTTCCACTTCAGTGGCCTGGGGTTCGCCGGTTCAGATCCTGGGCACAGACCTACTCACTGCTCATCAAGCCGTGCTGAGGCAGTGTCCCACATAGAGGAACTAGAAGGACCTACAACTAGGATATACAACTATGTACTGGGGCTTTGGGGAGGAAACAAAAAAAAGAAAAAGAGGAAGATTGGCAACAGATGTTAGCTCAGGGCCACTATTCCCCCCCAAAAATGTTAAAATGGTCAATTTTATGTATATTTTACCACAATAAAAAATTAAAATAATAATATAGAAAATTGAAACAGAGAAGAAAATTATTCCTCGTAATCTCCTCACTCCCAAATAAACCTGCATTCTTTTTTTTTTTTTTT